GAGAGTGACGGGTCACTCTCATGTAACCCCGTTACACAGTGCAACGGAAATTTCCCGTCCGTTTAAATACGCTTTTCTGATGAAGGCTTAGTGTAATTGATACGCCTCACCGTGTTGCTCGCTTTTTGCTGGCCGTTGACTTACGTAGACAGGAAGAAATGTGAAGTGACATTTATTATTATCGACAATAGGCGTTTCAATTCCCTCAAAGTTCCGTCATCTTCATTGTTTTACATTTTGATATTTCACTATTCATGAATAATCACAATCATAGCAAGTGTAATGTTTAGTTCGTACAATTGTACCGTATCGTATTTATTTAATAAAGCTAACAAGATTACATTATTTGCTCCGTCATACTTCGTATTCGTAGCAAAAAAACGCGAAAATCGCAATAAACGCCTGATAAGTACTTCCTGTTCTCATACAACAGAAGTATAAGTGGATATACAACTTAACTATACAGGGTGTACAGTTAATTCTTGACGCACAAAGAATGTGGTCCACACAGCATGTGTAGTGGGACCTGCTCCATTACACTACCACCCACTCAAAGTGAGTTTATCCAAATGCTCGAAAATTTACTCAACTCTTTTTCAGATTCTTCTTGAGACTTGACTTATCTGCAGATTTTTCTTCAGACTTTTTAGTTAATGTTTTCTTCCGCTCTTCGTCATGCTCTGTCCTACTCTCGCTTGAGCGACAATCACACGCTTGTTCCACATGAGATCAAGCTTGGATATTATTCCAATACCACGTCAATCGGCGCATTTGCACTATCGTGAACTTGATCATCACAGCGACTCTTATGAAAGACGACTGGGTCCACCCTAGAGTCTGGAAAACCCTTAAGGCAAATGGGTGCTTGACTGATGACTCGATTCGGATATTTTTGCGCCATTGGACCGCTGGAGGTGAATCACAAAGCCTCACTTATGTTCCATACGTCCAGCAATACACTCTGGATTCTACCCAGACAATCAACACTCAATTGAGGGCATGGGTTCTTGTGACCAAATTCGTAGATATCCACCGTTTGCAAAGCGCAAGCACAACTGATGACTTGTCGAATGTACGCGATATGCACTTTTGATTTGTGCATTTAACAGCGCAGAATCGTGTTCACTCCGATATAATGGATGCTCTTGATGTGTGCTCTGTTACTAGTTGGCCTCGTGACGAGAGAGACGAGGGAAGAAGAGACAGGGACAATTTCCTTAGCGGAGTATATCTTCGGAACCGCATCGAACAAGCGAGCGATACTGGGACAGTCGCGACGAATACGAGTACGAGGCACTCACGGACTCTCGCTCGCTAGATCAGTAATTTCACCGATAGGTCCTTCCGACACGCGGATGTTCCTCTCCGCCACACCGCTTTAGTATCGATCCCCTTTTCGATTTAGAATAGGGGGAGGTGGTCGCAGCAATCGTCCCCTCTGCTTCTTCTGTGGCTGATTCACAGCCCTTCATAAAATTGCGGGTTGAGTAGATTCTCTCGCTGATGAACCAGCGGCTGATCGTGGTGACCAATCGAGTGTCGTCGACGCGACAAGGCGTGAAGGATAATCGACAGGTTTTTTGATGGGTCGCAATCGAGGATCAGATCCACCGATTGGACAAGCTTTCCCGCTTGCTACGGTTACTTTCGCAGATGATGCAGGGCTTGCTGCCAAGCGATCTTGCTCTATTTCGGTCGTTTCCGATAATTTCCGTCATTTTGAGAGTGATGCTGAGGCGACGACGCCACTAGGTTTAACCTTTGATTCTCGTGCCAAAGTCGTGTCTCAAATCACCTTCGAATAATACTACGTTACATACAGAGCACGATTCGCGTCGTCGCGATGGTAGGGTCTGACGAGGAAGTCTATGTAGAACATCGGATTGGTTCTTGGTCAGCTTGAGAGATCGATAGTGTCGCACTCTCCTGGCATGACACTACTCGGAATGGACCGATGAAGCGAGGTAAAAGCTTCGAGCTTCCCAACCTTGAAACTACATCGTCTGATGGGTTCTTAGTACTAAGTAGTACATAATTTATCACATTAAGAGTTGAAAATCTCGTATATCTGCGCATTCCTTTTACAGACGTTTTGCATTAGCCATAACGTCTCGTAGTCTTGTGATCACAATTACACTACTCATGATGTATTAGTTTAGGGTGTCCATGTAATTGCGCTTCACATGCTCATCATTGATTGTATCAATTAAGAAGATAACGAATTGCCGATCTCCCCCTCTACTTACATTAGAGACACCACCCATCGCACAAAGCGGTATTTGCAGGTGTCACTAGGCATTCATAAAAATCACGGAAATCCAGTGAATATGAACTGAATAGATCATGGCAAAATCTCCCAACGGTAATGGTGAACTTCATTCCGCGGAATTTTCCGCGCAGAAGCTTCTCTACACATCACCAACCACTCAATCGGCACATTCTGGTTTCCCATCGGTCTTCGGGCGTAGCGCTGTGGGCATATCTAATCGAGTGCCAAAATTTCGGAACGAACACTAAGAGCCTGGTAGGTCTTCTTACGGCCAAAGTGACCGGCCATCGGCGCATCATGCGCCTCGTGCCTGACTCGTGATTGGGGAACTATAATTCGCGGCTCGTCGTCGCGTGCATCTTCAAAGTGAAGGAGACTATCCTTCTATGCAAAATAATGCAACCACGATTTCAACCAACGAGGCAGCTTGTCATGGAGTTCAATATCACTCGATGACAATGCTCTAATGATCAGATCACACTATTCATCCTCAACATACGCTCAACGTATAATCATATCGAATACATCGCTTTCGGTACAACTGATATGAAATCGCTCATAATCAGGACGACGTGATAATGCGTTTACCAGAACGTTCGGTTTCTCTGGCTCGTAGGCGACCGTGAAATTGTATTCTGTGAAGGGTGAAATCCAGCGAGCCATTCGGTGTACGACTGAATTGCATAACGCAACGTTGCGTGATCAGTGTAGTCGACAAACCAAGACGTTGACACGGTACCTCACCAAAGCAT